TCTCTACGTTCCACCAGCTACTCTCTTCGATCTATGCTATACAATCTTACCATTCACCATCTACCCTCTAAGGCCATCAAAGCTCTACAGTCTATGTGCTACCAACTTCTCTTATCAATCTACGCTCTATGCTCTGCGATCTACCATCTACCTTCTTAGCCCATCTGCTTGGAAGGTTATTGGAATTTTAAAATTTTTTTAAAAATTTTTTAATGAAGTCTAGTGAGCAGCACAAAGGAAGACTTCTTGTAGTTGTAAGCTTTTTCATTTATTTCCGACGCGTTTCGTCTCTGTCTGAGACTTCTTCAGGGAATGATTACAACTAACATTGAACAGTACATACAGCACATAAGTATACCCAAGTTCAACTTCCCATGGAAGTGAATAACTGCTGAAACATGCTGTAAACAGATGTTAGAAGAAATGCCTTAATACCTATGTTATTGCGTGTTGTTATATTTTTGGGGGGCCATACGATTAGCACTAATCATATGGCCCCCCCAAACATACTATTTACATAGATGTGCTAAAGTAGTAGTAGGTTTATAACTGACAATACAGTCTAAGTCTGGTAAACGTCTCTGGATAACCAGCTTGATGTTAGTGGTTCTGAGTTAAACCACTTGAAGGGGTGAGTGCAAAACCATGCTAAGTGACGATTTGGGTGAAAAAAAAATTTTTGCGAAAGGGCTTGAATTTTTGCATGTGGTCCTCAATGCAACAGAAAAACATGGTCCTGTATTTTTGCCGCTGGTTTTTGCTTCATTTTATAAAGATGCCGCTAGGAAAACCAAGTGTTTTTTGCATATGCGATATCTCGTAAACGAAGTATAGCTTAGCGGAAAAACTACGGGACATTGCTAAACATACCTAAACAAAACTGCATGCAAAGCCTTTGTTATAAGGTCGAAGTCTTGCCTCAGTTTATTATAGCAAAGGATCGGCCCGCCGCGACCGCAAGGACTTTGATTTCACTTAGAAAGCAGCAAAATCTCAATTTCATGCAACGCATAAGCTCAAAAATGTTGATTTTAGGTCAAAAAAGGTTTAAATGTTGATTTCATGTTAATGTGTGATGGCAAGGATGTTGATTTCTCTTAGAAACCAGCAAAATGTCAATTTCATGCAGTGCATAAGCTCAATGATGTTGATTTCAGGTCTAAATANCAACCACCAGGCAGGCATACAAGGTACTTTAAAACAATGCTTAAGATATTAGTTGACATAGCTCTAATGCGGCACATCTTGTTTTTGTTCGATGTATTTCGTTTGATGCTTGATCGATTAACCAATGTAAACAATCTGTTCCCAGATTTCCGCTCTATATAGACCCTTTTCATAAATGGCTGACAATTATAAATTCTTTTGTAAGTATTAAAATTAGCCTGACTAACCTCGTTTTTGAGTAGATAATTCAAAAGAATTTTTACTCCCAAATGAGTTTTGTGAGGCTAATTTAAATGCACACAAAAGAATTTAAATTGGCAGTCATTTTTGAAAAGGGTCTATAAGCTCACCTCTAATAAAGGCCCTCTTGTTGCTCGCGGGATGAAACGACACAAAGGGAATGTACAGATATTTATTTAGTCACTTTTGATAGGTAGAAAACTGCAGAGTGCTAAAATTAGCATCATTGTGAAGAAATAAATTGGGAAACAAAATACTAGTTTCACCAATAAAATAGTACGGAAGTTTGATACAATCATTCTTGCTATAGTGACAACTAAGAAATAGAGGACATTACATGCCCATGTGTGGATACGAATTTTATCTTCGAGTGTTCAACTTGATATCTCACGAGTGAGTGCAGCGAACGAGTCAGACATTGAGTTGAACACGAGAAGATAAAATTTGTATCCACAAGTGGGCATGCAATATTCTGTTTATTATATAAACATACTAATGACGACGTTTTTGACGATTTTCCGGAGATTTCTGACCACTTTCCAAAGATTTCTGAAGATTTTCCAAAATTGTTCCGAAGGCCAGACAAACGCTTCCGAACATTTTCCGAAGATTACCGAATATTGCCGAAGGTTGCCGAAGATGTTCAAAGAAGATCCAAAGCTGTTTCGATCATACATCAACAAATTTAAGTGTAGGTAAAGGGACAAAAGAAAAATGTTATCAAAAAGGAATGATATCTTCACAGTGTGAAAGATAAAAATAGTATCTTCACTGCACGCGATGAACATATGATTTTTTAGTCAAAGGAAAAATCCTGGTATTTCACTGGTGTTTATATAATGTACTCTAATAGGATTTCTTTGGGACCCTTCCAAACAAAAGATGTATTTTTTTAATGTTTTAATGTTTTAATATCTTAAAACACAATTTTATCTCGTTTACATATAGATATAAATTGTTAGATATCCTTTAATCTTTTTACAATTGTAAATTTAGTTAGCATCGAGCAGGCGAAGAGCCACCCTGTGGATATACTGCCCGAAATGCCATTATTATTATTATTATTATTATTATTATTATTATTATTATTATTATGTTTTAATGTTTTTTTACTTTTTCTTTAACTTTATTTTTATATTTTTGGGGCCATACGGTTAGCGCTAATCGTATGGCCCCCAAAATATAACAACACACAATAACGTGTACAATGAGGTGTTTCTTGTAATGTACATTTTACAGCATGTTTCACCAGTTATTCACTTCCATGGGAAGTTAAACTTAGACACACTTAAGTCATTCCCTGAAGAAGTCTCAGATAGAGATGAAGCACGTTGGGAATAAACAAAAAAGCTTACAACTACAAGAAGTCTTCCTTTGTGCTGCTCATTAGTCGTCGTTAAAAAATTAAAAGTTTAAAAAAAATAATTAAGAAACCCCAATAACCTTCCAAGCAGATGGGCTTAGAGGGTAGATCATAGAGCGTAGAGCGTAGATCGAACAGAGTAGCTGGTAGAACGTAGAGAGTAGAGCGTAGATGGGCTTAGAGGGTAGATCGTAGATCGTAGAGCGAGTAGCTGGTAGAACGTAGAGAGTAGAGTGTAGATGGGCTTAGAGGATAGATGGTGGATTGTAGATCGAAGAGCATAGATTGATAGAGTAGCTGGTAGAATGTAGAGCATAGATGGATTTGGAGGGTAGATGGTAGAGCGTAGAGTGTAGATTGAAGAGAGTAGCTGGTAGAACGTAGAGAGTAGAATGTAGATGGTAGAAGATATGGCTTAAAGCATGGAGGGTAAACTCAATACAGAATTGTACATTAAAAAGATTATTAAAATACTGTAAACCATAATAACACTTTAATGACACTTACATATGCACCTTTTGCTGTTCAGTTACAGAAAATATCCATTCATTTGTGTTCAAATTTGTTTCATTATGGTTAATATACTCTCATTAACACCAATATGACATTCATTTGCACGTAAGGAACGTTCAAGAATAACATTTGCATATGTATTAACATTCGAAATCATCAAAAGATAAACAATATCTTCCCTTGACATTCATTGGCTGTAAATGTATTTTTATTTTTGTCGAATTAAAATTCGTTGTCATGAAATGACAATCATTTACAGTTTTGGACAATCCTTTTTCAACAAAAGACTTTCAATAACAGAATTTGCATGAGCACTCACAATCAATTGCATTATTATACAACCATATCCATGAAGGTGACAATCTTTAGTACGCTGAGACAGACATGTTTTCACCTAACGTTAAGAGAAAACAATAGCTCATTAGCGTAATTCTTCTGAACAGAAATATTGCGCCCAATTTTCCTTGAAAATTTGATTATAGAACTAGGGACCGTATGTACCTTTTTTTTCATCGTACTTTCACAATCCTCCCCTTGCAGATATAAATTCGGCCTCTTATGAACCTTTTGCGTACAACTCAGAGGGCGCACTACAGTATACATGTGATAAAGTAACAGTTAGATTTCCCCACAAATGCCACAAGGAAATAGAATCCCATTTGAACACAGCAAAAGGATAATCAGGGCCTACATGTGGACAATGGTATTGTTTCATGCAAACATATTTGCCACGATGCCTCAATAGTGAGGCAATTAGGAGATATATTGTTCAGCAAATTTGATATTCTCTCTTCCAAAAATAAATGTTATTATGGCTGCAATGTTTGTCTCACCACACTTAAGATTGTCATCTTTGTGCAAGTTGTGTCATTGAAAGTCTCTTGTTGAAAAAGGATTGTTCAAAAGTGTACATGATTGTCGTTTTGTGACAACAAATTTTTTTTCCACAAAAATGAAAATACATTTACAGCCAATGAATGTCACAGGAAGGTATTGTTTATCTTTTGATGATTTTGAATGTTAATACATATGCAAGTGTTATCCTTGAACGTTCCTTAGCGCAAATGAAGGTCATATTGGTGTTAATGAGAGTATATTGACCATAATGAAACAAGTTTAGACTCAAGTGAATGAATATTTTCTGTAAATGAACAGTAAAAGGTGTAATATGAGATATATGCGAGGAATATGCTACAAATTGAAATCAAATGTTATGAAATAGGCAAGTAACCATAGTAACAATACACAACTATGGTGAAAGCTATGGAGTAGGAGGTAATGTATCTTTCCAACACGTAGGAGGAGACTGGTGACGAAAGCGTAGAGTTGTAGAGCTCTACGGAAATTTCTACACCAAATTGAGCTTCATAAAACGGGTGCCAGTTGCAAACAAAAGCGCTCACTTATAACAAATTTGAGTTACAGAGTGAGTGACAAATGAATAGGTTTTCACAATGGTGGTCATAACTAGAGTTGGTTGTATGATTATAATAGTGGTTGCAAATTTAAGAGAACATCTACTGCATACAGTAGACCCTACTCTTTTCACCACTTTCCCCTTTTCCTTGACCTGAAAAAATAGTCAGTTATTTTCTCTTTTCATAAAGCTATTTCAGAATGTGACAACTTTTTAAATAAAGATAAGTTGAATGAACTGAAAAACAGATTAGTCATTTTCAACCATCCAGTTAGTTTTTGAGCTGTATAAGCAACTTACCGAGTTTGTAGAGATCTCTAATAACTTGTGTCTGATGGTGAATGTGTTTACTGCAGCATGGCTATCCTCTTGAAGGTGGCTGGAAGGTGATGGGGGCTAAATAATGAACAATAATTATGACATCATGAAACATGAAGCTTTATATTTGATTGAAACCACTGGATCGACCAACTGTTTAACATTCTGCACTTGAATGGAATGTCTCTTCCATCCCAATCTTGTCACTAGTACTCTTAATCTTGGTTTGATGTTCAGGGGCCCTATCTTTTTTCCTTTAGGGGGCCTATCATTTGGAACTCTTTTGATACTGTATCAAGGTGCATAGAAGTGCTGTAAGGTAACGGTAAAGTCTGCATTCGAGCCAAGTGGCCCATCAGGCCGGAGCTTATCCCGGTTTCTGTAGCATGAAGCAACTAGGAGTATTTCTACTCCCCCCTGGATGGGATGCTAGTCCATCGCAGGGTTACCCACAGCATTAAGTTTGCCGGTACCCATTTATACACCTGGGTGGAGAGAGGCACTGTGAGAGTAAAGTGTCTTGCCCAAGAACACAACACAATGTCCCCGGCCAGAGCTCGAACCCGGACTACTCAATCCGGAGACAAGCGCACTAACCATGAGGCCACTGCGCCTCCCACATAGAAATTCTGTACAGGCCCACAAATGATCCCAGGGCTGAGTTGTTTGAAAGCCAGTTAACGCTAACCCAGGATTAAAAGTTAACCAAAGTATTAATTTTTATTGTATAAAAATGTTTCTACTGCTCACGTTTTGTACAGTTTGAGCTTAGTCAAACTTAAGGTATCAGTGTACCCCAAATTTGATCATTTTTCCAAAAAAAAATTTTTTTCTCTTTTTCAGATAGATCTTATTGCAATCATTCATTTAAAAAAATTCAATGAAAAAAGATTGATTCTAAGCAAAGTTATTAACGAAAAACATTTCTTCCCATTAATTATCTCTAATTGATAGCTGTCAACACATCGTCACAAAAAGTAAATTTGCATTAAAAAATCAAGTGACTGACATGGTGTTGTGCGAATTTCACACGTTTATGGTTATGTTTTAAAATTGGTCGGCGATGTGCCGCTGTGAGTGTTTTGCTTTTGTAGATTACAGATTTAAAAGCTTATGGTACATCCGTTCCTTGTTGTCAAAGAAAAAAACACAAAAGTCCTTGTCCTTTTGCAAGTGTGAAAAAACCTTCAAAGCCGAAAAAGCTTTTGAATTGCGATAAGGACCGAGCTAATGTGTTAGCTGCTAGCAACCCAGGTTCCTACTTTGAGTAGGAGAAGTTGATTGCTCTAGATGAGGAAGAACAAAGTCGATGGGAGAGTGAGACCGGTAGTGCTGGCTGGTCGAAAATTGAAGACAAAAGCAAAGATGAACCTGCAGAACTGAACTCACAAGAGTCATGGAAAAAGTTGGCTGGTCGAACAATTCTTGCTGGCAATCAATCGCTTGCAAGAAAATCTCTTGCCGGTTTTGTCACGCAGATGTGACTTTGTTGGAGAATGCTTCCACAAGATCTGGCCTTGGTTCATCTTGGATCGTGTCCTGTCAAAATGAGCATTGCCCATCGAGGAATATGAACACTGCCTTCAATATGACGCCACGAGGAAAGGGCTTGGAAATCAAATGATCAGTGAGCGTCTGTTCTTGGTTTCCAAGCAATAGGACGAGGACATGCTGGTGCATCTAAGACGCTTAGATTTCTCACACTAAAACCTATAAACAAGCACTATTGGTCTTCTTGATCTGCACGCATACGTCCCTGTGGGTTCCTTTCCCTTGTTTACGCGAACGCTTTTTACCTGTCTTCGGCATCTCTCAACCTGTTTCGTTAGATGGAATGTGAATCCACATTAGCTAGGGCATTTAAACAATGGAAAACGAAGAATTGAACGAAAATTATTTCCTCGCCAACCTTATTGCGTGAGCAGCGAAATTCAGATCTTGCAAAGGATATTTCCCGCCAGGAGCAACATTTGAGCCCACTTTGTAATTGATATGAGCTCTATTGTTACAGTAAAATGAGCCTTCATTTGGTCGATCAACATGTCAATAATGTTCACACGTTTTGTGTAATTATCTCATTACACCAGAAGAATACCCCAAAGAATATTTTCCTTCATATCTCGAAACGAAAATTTCAGCTAGTGAAGGGCACATTTTGAGTCCATTTCCGGGGAGTTTTCAACGTTTTCTGCTGAAATTTGGAGAGAACGTTGCCCGATAATCACGCTAAAAGACAGTGTCGGGGAATTTTCATTTTTTGCTTCTTTCAAAAGTTACGAGTATTTTAGTGAGGAGAATGCATGTTTTATCGACTCTCCAAGTTTAACTGCATGTCAAAACCAAACCAGACAAGTAATCAAAATTTCCCGACACTGTTTTTCAGAGAAAGGTGTCAAGAAGACATACTGATGTTGATCGCATTCTCCCACTCAATTCCAACCGGAAATAAACTTGATTAGTAAACCTCTGTACTTTGAGAAATAGCGCGTTATATTTGGAAAACCTGAAATTTTTTTGTTAATGAATATACCTTCGTAATCTACAATTATTACGCTTTCAGAAAATATATACAGTGCAGCTAAGATATATCCGAACCAAAATATACGTGTAATTTGCGTCAGCCCAATACGTGTATACGCGTATGCATATACAAACATACATGTATGCATATACGCACATACATGTATATACGAGTATGCCTGATCAGTATGTGTGAGCTAACCTATCGTTTTTTCTTTTCTTAACAGATCATTGTTTTCAATGGCTTGACAGCTTGCCACAGAGCGAGAAAGAGTTTTCTTTATTTTGAATATGCGTATACAGTATATGCACGTATGCCTTCAGACTAGACTTATTAGCAAAATGTTAGCTGAAACCAACATTTTGCATTGGGCACTTGACAGAAAATTAACTGACTGAATATAATTAAAAGAGAGAGTATTTTGCCGTCAAATAAAAAATTTACCGTTTTTTTTTGTTAAATTGACCCAGGGATGCACGCTTCAACAATCCCATCTTCCTTGAGCAAACAAAACCGAAAGATAACTTTTTTTGACACAAAGTAAACACGGTCCAAGCAAGTGCGCGACTTGGAAACGTGCGCCGAAACACACCACTTTTCCTTGAAGAAAATTAAAAATAACAAAATGTGAGTGGCACACCATAGAAACTTCAATAAACATTTCTTTCATAGGGGAAAGAGTATTTTACCATTTGAATGAACGGTTTGTGTCAGATATAAATGGAGATATCATTTTCTTGACAAGGTCTTCGGAACGCTTCAAACAATAAACATTGTCGCAAGTGACTTGCCGACACATGCCGAAACACAGAACTTTTCCTCAAAGAAAAAATAACTAAACATGAGCGACGTGCCAGTGAAACTTTGATAAACAGTTATTTGGCTAAAGAAAGAGCATTTTACCATTTGAATGAACGATTTGTGTCAAATATAACTGCAGATATAATTTTTTCGACAAGGTCTTCAGAGCACTTCAAACAATAAACATCTCACAAGCGACTTGCCGATCCATGCCTAAACACAGAACTTTTCCTTGAAGAAAAAAATAACTAAAAGCAAGCAGCAAGCCATAGAAACTTTGATAAAAAATTATTTGGCTAAAGAAAGAACATTTTACTGTTTGAATGAATGATTTGTTTCAAATAAAACCAGAGATATCATTTTTTCAGTGAAGATCTTCAGAACAGTTCAGACAATAAACACTTCCCAAACGACTTGCTGATGCATGCCGAAACACAGAACTTTTCCTTGAAAAAAAATAACTAAACGTGAGCGGTATACCATAGAAACTTTGATAAACAATTTTACCATTTGAATGAATGATCTGTGTCAAATATAACCGTAGTTATCATTTTTTCGACAAGGATCTTCAGGCAAATATTTCGCAAATGACTTGCCGACATGTACCGAAACACAGATCTTTACTTGTAAAAACATTAAGATCACGTGTTAAAATAGGGAGTTCAAGCGACTGTTTCAATTTTCTTCTGATTTTTGGTAGCTTAAGATCAAGCAAGGGTTAATAAACACAACTTTTCCCAAGGAGGCAGCGTGGCCAAGTGGTTGGGGCGTTGGACTTGAAATCCGGAGGTCACAGGTTCAAGTCCCGCTCTGACCACTTAGCTGGAGTTGTTTCTCGGTAGACCCTAGTTCAACTCCTCTGTCATGCTTGTAAATAGCCAACCGGTCTGCCAGTTGCGATTTTTAAGACTATTACGTTTAGTTGATATATTTGTTTCCTTCATTTAAAGTGGAATGCATGTGAACTAGCTAGGTGTAGCTAAGCGCATTGACCACTATAAACAACATTTGAACATTTTTGAACATAAACGGTAGTTTGTCGGTAAATTTGCAAAGTGATTGAAAACTCAAAATATGATAGCTTCGTTGACCGGCAGGACGTTTTAACAACATGCAAATTTCGCTTTGAAGCCTTTTTCATCCCCAGAAATATAATGTCCTTTGTTTGACCAACAATGCCTCCCATAAAGAAACTTATGGGAATGCATAAACAAGGAGACATACACATGCGTATATACGCACATGTGTGCGGATTAAGATAGGCGTATACGCAAAATATGCTCGTATAATATACGTATGCGTAGTTTGCATATATCTGAGCTACACTGTACTTTACTAGGGTTTGCGTCAAACGTCCCACTGTAAAGCGGTGCCAAAGAATGATGGTCATTTGGGGTACACTGATACCTTAAAACTGAAGGACAAACATTATAACAGAAAACCTCACCGAAAAGTTGCAAAATTGAAATCAAAATTCTTGCTAATTCTGGGTTAGCATAATCAGGTTTGAACAACCCAGCCCAGGACTGCAAATGATCCCCAAAGTGGACCGCAAATGATCCCCAGATTGTACTGCAAATCATCCCTGGAACGGAAATGGTATCTTTGCCACTAATGGAGGAAATGAGTGGACTCAGGAATTTGGACTTCACAGTGGATTTATTTTATCCATTTGTTTCTTAAAATTCCCAACAGCTAATTTAAACGCAATAGTTACTATAGGTAGCACAAGCAAGATGTACAGTATTTTAACAGT